AGAGAGAGAGAGAGAGAGGGATAAAAAAGAAATTTAGCACTCATTTCAATATTTATATAAAGTAAAAAAGTGTTATATAAAACTTTTAAGCTTCCGATGCCATATAGTACATTTGTCAAGCGCAGAATGTTTGGCGTTAATAAATGACGCTAAGGCTCGTGGTGCATCTTTAACCGTGGAAACGTGCTATCACTACTTAACACTTGCTGCGGAAGAAATACCTCCAGGCTCTACTGAATTCAAATGTTGTCCACCGATCAGAAGAAAAAATAATCAAGTAATTAAAAGTTAATCAAATATTCTTAAATAGTATTTGAAAATATTCGCTACATATCAACATATAACATGAAGAGAGATATTTTAATTCAACAAATTTTTAAGATTGCGATTCATTTTAGATAGACATTCGTTATAAGAACAAAATAAGTGAATTTTACATTAGGATCAATGTTTGTCTGATTCGGATTTATTCGATAAATTAACTTATAAGTTGATTTTTGATCTTACATATATGTATGTTGATAGGAAAAATTGTGGAGTGGTCTTAAGAACAAAACATTAGACATGATTGTCTCGGATCACTCTCCTTGTGTGCCAGAATTGAAAACTTGCGGAAATTTTTTGACCGCTTGGGGCGGAATCTCGTCATTGCAATTCGGTGCGTGTTTATGTAAAAATTTAGTGGAGGAGAGAGAGAGGAGGAGAGAGAGAGAGAGAGAGAGAGAGAGAGAGAGGAAGAGAGAGAGGGAAAATGAGAAAATGAGAGACAGAGAAAGAGAGAGGGAAGAGAAAGAGAGAAGAGCTTTCAAAGCTCTCGCGCCTCTCGCCCAGACTGTCATTTCGATCCTGACTGAAACAGTCCCAGCGGTTCTCAATCGGAAAAATGCTCGAAAGATGAAGTAAAGCCAGACTGAAAAGCCTTTCTGGATTAATGTCGAGAATTTGATTCACAGCGCATGGCTAACGTGAATAATTAGTAACATGTTTTATGGATAATTTATTGCATCTTTTCTACGGTATACTAGTGAACTGATAAATGGGACAAGTCGTATATTGCTCGTATAAGAGAATATATATTTGTGCATAAATGCATATATGGAACGATCGTGAAATATATATATATATATCAAACATTCTCTTTTTCTTTTTTCCCTCTTAACCTGGAATTTTTTTTCAGATCTGGGTTCTTTTTGAAATTTTCAGAGCGCTGTGATCTTGTTCCAGATTTCATTAATCGACGCCCTAATAATTCAGCAACTTTAACTTTTTTTCTATCAAAAACTCGCGGCGACGTTATCTGCATTGTAAATCGATGCTAGCAGCAATATTTTATTTTCTTTCATTTTATTTCTTTCCGATAAATTAATAATTGATTTAGTTAAATAATATGAAGGAAATACAAGAATTTAATTTCACTGTTGAAAGCGTAAGTTTGGAATAATAAATAAGCATTTGCAGTAAATTTCGCTTGTTTTGTCTAATTTAATTGAAGAAATGAATATATTTTGCTTTCCATTACGCGATTAGGCAAAAAAATAAAGCGGAGACCAGTCAAACATAAATCCGGCAAAATAAATCTTCTTTTAACGAGCACCCGGTATGCTCGTCGTGTGTATGCAGCGAGTGGGCCCGTTGTAACGCTTCAACTGGTTCCTCTGCCCTCTCGCGCCTCTTACTCGCCCCCCTGCCAGGAGAGCGAGGAGGACGAGAGGGCGCGCAGACACCCCCCCTCGTCTCGTTCGCCCCCTTTCGTCGCCATCCTCTTTCCCCTTTCTCTCTCTCTCTTCTCTCTCTCTCTCTCTCTCTCTCTCTCTCTCTCTCTCTCTCTCTCTCGCCCATGCTATGATCAATATTACGCCCCAGAGCTACGGCATCCAACCGACCTCGAGATGGACTTCTTCTTCCTGCTCAAAGCATCCCCGAGCGGCGCGACGGTGCAACTTCCGTCTCGAAAGTTTTCCAGCACGCGAAACCGGAAACCAGAACGAGAAATTAAAAGCCGGCAGAAGCGTCGACCGTTTGGATCACGCCAAGGAATCGCGCTGTAAAGTTTCTCTTGCCCTCTATCCTCCCTTGCCGGAAGGGACCGGAATGGAGTCGATAATAGTCCCGGTAATTGCGTTGCTCGCTTGGGCTGTCATACGAAATCACCGAGATTGATTTCGTGGGCTCGACAAGTGCTGTGGTCAGGTCCGATCAGAGTTTTACCGATTACAAGCAAACGAATATTCCCTTTGCTAGATCCGTCGTTTTTCCTTTTAATGCTCCTGTATATTCGCATCGTTCCCACAAATTTTTATGGCAAATTCGAGAGTTCTTCAGTTAATCAATTTTATAATGAAACAGATGCTTTTTTAATTTAGAATATACATATGTAAAACTGGAATTTTTTATTCATCGATGTACGCTAGAGTAAGAAAGAGTATCAAACAGCGCTAACAACGCGGTCTTCTAATTTGTGAAACAAACCCTTTGTGAAAGTACATTTGAGTGTATTAACATTGTCACCCAGAGATTGTGACGTGAAAATCCTATCGGATGAATATATACGTCCGTAAGTCGACGTGTTCCGACTATCGTTTGACCGTGCTACGTCATTCCGCATAAATCCCACGTCGCACCCAAGACCAAAGCTATCAGTTTGATCCTCGGAATCTTCTCAGAAGTACGGCGGCAGATGATTCATCCGCGAAGGCCAACCGACAGCCAATCGGGGAACGTTAATCAGCCGGGTTGAGAACCACCGAGAACGGATTCCCGTCTGCTCTTGCGGCCGGGATATATTTGTACAAGTAGTAATATGGTGGTTTGATCAGACGGGAATGGAAGCAAGACGGGAGGGAGCAGGGTGGAGTGGGAAAGAGGGGAAGAGAGATGAAGAGATAAGCGCGATGCATCATTTCACGTGGCAGTCCCTTTCCGTAACCTTTTGGACGGACTGTACGGCGGCTAGGTTAGGGACTGTACGTCTGCCTCTCCAATCTGCAAGCTATTGTAACACTCCTCCGCATCTCCTCTGCCTCTCTCGCATCACCCTTCCCCTCCCCTGCCCCCCCCCTCCCCGCCCCGGTCGGTCCCCTTTTCCGCCGTCGCCGACGCCGTCGTCGTCGTCGTCGTCGTCGTCGTTGTCTGCTCGGCCGTTCTTCCCGCGTCTCTTCTTTCGCATCTCTTCCTTCTTCGCCAACCCCGCGCGAGAGTTTTACCCTCTCCCCCGTCGTCCTTGCACGCCGTCCTCCGGGACTTAGACGGCGCGGTGCCGCTTATTCCTCGTCCCCTCGTGATGTCGCGCGGTGTCAACGTGAAAATCATTTGCCCCTTTTCTCACCGTAAGGAGGAGTTATAAGGCAACGTCATGAGAGAGAAAAAGAGATGAGAGAGAGAGAGAGAGAGAGAGAGAGAGAGAGAGAAAGTGTGTGTGTGTGTTTGTCCGTGAGGAAGGAAACTGAGAGGAAAACAAGCGAGAGAATGAGACGCAGATAGGAAGGAGAAAATGAAGGACAGAGACAGAGAGAGAGAGAGAGGCAGAAATGGATCTCATGGAATGCACGGCAACGATATTGTTACAATTGCGGTTGTTAATATCGTAATCGCACGACTGCGGTGACCGCGAACGAGGTCAATGGGGAGATTAAACGTTAAAATGTATATGTTGTATCATAGCGAAAGGTTAATCAGACATATGGCGTTGTAGCTTTCAAAGATTGCAGCATTGCGGAGATCTGCAAAAGCTAGCTGTGTAAATTAGATCTATTATTTCTACTTTTGTGCGTGCGCGTGTATTCCAAAGCGCATAAAACGCAAACGCGCGTTCTCCAAACGCGAACGCACGGTTCTCGCGATGTCTTAATGAGCGGACTGAATTATTTCACTGGATTCTCGATTCTTCTCCCGAAGCTTTATCGTCTCTGTTTCTCAATCGTCCCATTATCACGTCGCCCGGCGACTCGCGTCCTTCGGGGATAGACGACATTGAGAACAATTCGACGTTATTATTTTAGACGCGAGTAAAACGGACTCGAACGCCGAGGGAATATTACGCGTCGGCTTTTCAGGCCCTCCGCCGAGAGAATTATTTCCGCGGGAAAATCAGATTCCCCTCGGCTCTTCACCGCGACCTTCGACGCGCCGCGAGAGTTTTTTCGAGAGATGACAAATCGTCATCTATCGCGAAATAATCCGGACGTTTACACAGACGTCCGAAACGATTTACGAATGCACGGCTCGTTCGCCGCATCGCGAGAGAACCCGGGCAATAATTTATCCGGTCGGGGATAAATTCCTCGGCTATCCATTTTTCGCGATATCCATTTTGT